GCCTCTCTTTAAACCAAATTAACTAAGAGGTAAGCAACGTGCAAAGTCACAATAGGAAAAGATAATATTTTAACTTCAATTAAAATAGAGTTGAACTAGGAAAGTAATCTCAAGAGATAAAATCTAATCTTATTAGAAATAAGATTAACATAAAAATACTTGAGTGAAAATAACTCCAACTAGGAATCCTATAATGAATGCGTGATTATGTCATGATTTACCTGAGGTCAAGATTCTCATATGGTCAGGGCATGCCTCGGAAGTGTGGGGTTGAAAGAGTAGTGACAAAGCGTTCAATAACAATTCCTCACAAACTAATTTTCACCCTATACTAAAGTCTAGGAAATGCCAATACGAATTTCGTACTAACAGTCCAAATGGCTTCACAGCAGCTGTGATCAAAGTATGTCTCACCATTTAGAAAAAACATGACAACCTCACCAGAATATGCTTGGAGTTGAAACAAAGATTCCTAGCAATTGGAAGATTCTTCATCCAAATTCAACATGGCTGCGAGGTTCGGGTTTGACTGAAATAGGTTAGGATTCAAAGATTGAGCAATTGTGGGTAAGAATGGCATAGTCAAGGCTAGAAGAGCTATGAGAAGGAAGAGCTTGAAAGTTGTGTAAGCTGCCATTTTTATTTTGATTATTGTGGATGAGTAAGAGATTGATACGAATGAAGGGTTTTTATATAGATAGTGAGGTGATTGTGTTATAAAATGAAAAATAAAAAAACGTTACGTGCATTGGGTGATGAAGAGGTTGTTGAGAATAACTCATAATGACTATGATCATGTGATTATTTAACAGCAGGAGAAGTGGACGGGACTCAACTCATCAACTGATGATGCATATATTATTTATAACAGAGTTTGTGGGAATTAAAATGATTAAACTTAATTCCCAACCAATGATATATCAGACAAATTAATGGATAGTTTAGTCTTCGTGATGGTTAGTTTGCTTCACTACCAAAAAAAAAGTGATAACAGTTACCATTAATTGGTGACATTTGGTGACTAATGTGGGGGTAACTAAAGGCTTAGTCACAAAAAAAAAAAAAATCCCTTTTGGATAACTTTAAGTCACCAAAAAATGCTTTTTTGGCGACTAAAGTCTTCAGTTACCCCCACATTAGTCACCAAATGTCACCAATTATTGGTAACTGTTGCCACTTTTTGTTTTTGGTAGTGCTTGCTAGCTAGTGTAAGTTTTCTTTGCTGATGTCAAAAGGATATATCAGACCATTCATTTGCTTACTGGAAGTTGGTTATTGTATTGAATGAGACCCCTAATTGGATGATTAAATTTATGTTTTTCTTTATATTTTAATTTCAATTTTCCATTGGATTTTTAATTATTGAAAAAATATGCTGACCTGTTTTAGAGATAGACAACGATAATTTGTTATTGTGGGTTTGGCATTGGTGCTTTTGTATGTCTGCCTGATTAGATAGAGATTTTGGGCTTTTGTTGGTGCCCTTCAGCCTTCGGTTGCTAACTTCAGCTTCAACTGGACGAGAATTCTATAGTATGGGCCTTATCTAAGCCTCGTGGATGTTTGTTCGGCTCTGTTGTTCTTAATTGGGCTGTGTTTGTCGCTTGCTGAGTTTTTAGCCTGCCTTTCCGACATTGCATTTCCCTTTTGATTTGGGATACCCTTCTTGTTCCTTTTTGAACAATATCCCTATAGCTTACAATACATCTTAATGTTTTGTGATTTTGATACTCTATAGCATATGTAGTAATGTCAGTCTTCTTATAGCTCTGAAATTTCTCCTAATAACAATAAAACAAACTGACAGCCCCAAAATGTTTTCCCTAGTGTGAAAATTCGAGTACAGGATTATGACCAGATTGAATTCATCAATCATGTGGTACTTCTTAACTCCAATTCTCCAAATATTTTACAACGAAAAAGTTACTATAATTTTATTCAAGACACAACTAGCACTGCCAAATTCTGCTCAACTTATTGGGATGTTAATGAATCTCTCATGAATTCTATTCTGTTGCATAATTTGAAACTGAGAGATGCTAAATAAGAGAAGAATGCATAATTGAATGAGAGATTGCACAAACTATCAAAGATATGATCAATGAAATAGCAGTGTGCCCAATATCGGCCATGGCATCAAGAACCCAAATTTCAGTTGACCACAGGACACAATTGGCTGGCTTCAACAGCTGTAGTCTTGTAATATGTACTTGAATGCAGAAACAAAAAAAAGTTAGGAGTATGTCTTGTTTATTTGCATCATAAATCTTGCATATACATACTTTTGCAATGGAAAAAAAAACAGCAGCAAGATAAATTGTTCTCCTCTCCTACTTAATATCATTGAAACGTGTTGGAAGACATATCATTGAAACAAACAAAACAAACAACCATTCACTCTATCTTAAGATAGATGAGATCATGGAAGACATACTTTTTTGCGGAAAGTAACTACTTAATGATTTGCAGTATGTTAACAGATACTTTGCTCAAGTGCTATATAATATGCAGCAACATGAGTTAATTAACCTGATAATTAGTGCTCTGCAGTAGTTAACAAAGAAATGTTCTTTCTCAGATGCAAAAAGCTCATGTTATCAACCAAGATGACAAATGTACATGAGAGAGAGATAGAGAGAGACAGAGAGAGACCAGAGGAATTATCATCGAAGATATGAATCTAATGATAAATGTATCGCTAGAAAAGAAAATGTAGGGAGACAGATGGTGGTGACTTATTAATAATATCCATTGTGAGAGCAGTGTTATTGGCCTTTAAAGTATTGAGGTGCAGATATTTGAGGAGTTTTTAACGAAGGTAGCAAAATTTTAGCTCCTCTTTTAAGAATAACAGTTTTTATTAAACTTTTCAACAATAGCGAAAAATAAGAGGGGGCAAGACCTAAGTAGCAAATCAAAAGTCCTATGCAGCTCCTGCTGTAGTTGAAAATTTTCATAAAAAGTGCAGTTGTTAAAAAGAGGGAGAAAATCTTTACAAGTTGAGAGAAATTCAGATATGCTCCTAAAACAAAACAAGGAATAGAGCTAAATAAAAAAACAGTGGGAGAACCAAATGAAGGAGCAATAGGTGAAAAACAAAACTTAGAGCAATATAAGGCCAAAAGAATGAAGCACAAGCAGTGGAACAAACAATAGCACGTTAAATCCCCAAAAAAATGAAAACTAGAATCAGCAAATGAAGCAACTCACATTGAAATACAGCAGCTGTGATGCCTCTTGCTTTGAAAGTGAGGAATCATAGGTTAGTCCCAATCGCATCGATCTTTTTTCTTTTTCTGGGCCGAGCTTCGTCAACAACATCATTTAATTCATCTTGGTCTGCCTTTTTGGAAAGAGCATAGGTATTGCAGAAGAGAGATTTTTTGTGAGAGCTACCACTTCCACTAGGACTAGCCTCCTCGTCATCATGGTGGTGTTGACCTTGTGCATCAGCTGATTTGGTAGGACAAGTAGTAGTGCTCTTGATGACGGATTTGTTCATCATGATCTGGTTGAGTTGTTCCACATCTTGCTCGTGCACCAAACGAAACCCACACTTCTTCACACAAGATTTTTTGTGTTCCAGCATTATGTCTTGATGAGAATAATAAGTTGTGAACAAAAACTTTATCTGACCGCATATCTTCTCAGATTGTATACGAGATACATAAATTACCCAAAGGTGATCTGACACAACATCGAATATAGTAAATTCTTTTGGAAATACTCCATGTGTCCGCATTCCTTGTGGGGAACAGTTAATTCGAACATAATGAACATCAGAAAGATTAGCCTGAACTTCAAACACAACACAAAAAGCAATTCCCATCCACGTGGTAGGTAGCTCCACAGTTAGGGAATCTCCCAAACTTTGATTACTGAACCACTCTGGAATTTTCCTTCCAGGAGTTAAAATTGTGAATCCGTAAAGAGGCCTAATAAAACGGAGTACCTGTACCATATACATAGATATATACGAGGTTAGTAAGCTGTAATTATTATTACAGCAAACAACAAAAGAGAGACAGACAGAGACAGAGAGAGAACCCGAGGCTGAAGGTATCGCTGTAGCATTTTCAGTATTATACTGTCGCAGCCTTCATTGTCAACCAATACAAAGCAATTGGCACAATTAAAATGTATTCTGTTCTTTAATGAGCAATTTGACGAAAGATGTGGTAACATTTTTAAGGAAGTGCAATTGGCTATGTTTATATCCACCAATGAGATAAGCTTAGAAAGATCTGGCAATTGTTCAAGACTTTGGCACCCATTCACCCAAAATGACTTAATCTTAGAAAGACATCCAATGCTTGCAGGAAGGCTAACAAAATTGTTTCCACTAAGACTTAATTTTTCTAAAGAGGACAAGCAACCAATATCACTGGGAAGATCCCCTTCACAAACGCCACAATTACTTAGATCCAAATACTTCAAAGAGAATAAACCATCAAGCGAAGCCAACACAAATGCCTTTCTTCCATTTAAGCGGGGGAGGCCCCACCAAAACCTTGATTTATTAGGTTGTGATCCACTTCTTCCATCCAAAGATAGATCCCTCAGTTTTTTCAAACCAACAATGCAGCGTGGCAGCTGTCTTATAGCAGTTCCATTCAGATGAAGCGTATGTAAACACTCCATCTCTCCCATGTTCTCTGGGAATTTGTCAATTTTTGAGCATCCACTCACCTCGAGGTGTGTAAGAGACTTCAAATTACAAATTTCACTCGGAAGACCCGCGAGATTTTTGCAATACTGTAGTGACAGATCAGTAAGAGACTTCAAATTACAAATTTCACTCGGAAGACCCGCGAGATTTTTGCAATACTGTAGTGACAGATCAGTAAGGCCAACCAGACATCCTATTGATGAAGATAATTTCTCAATGGACATCCCACTTAAATTAAGCGTTGACAAATTTTTCATTTGCCTTGAAAATTCTGGAATCTTTTTCAATTTTGAGCAATAACCAAGATCCAAGCTTTTAAGACATTTGAGATTTGCAATTGACGGGTGAATCTCAACCAAATTCTTACAAAATTGAAAATCCAACAACTCAAGATTCGGAACGCCACTGAAATCTGGGGTTGTGGTCAAGTTTTTAGAGCCAAAAAGCTTCATTTTTTTCAAGTTGGGCAAGTCCTGTGCAATTCATAACAATGGTAGAATAGATAATTAGCTCAGATTTATTTTAATTTTTAAAACAAAATATTTAAAATAAAATAAAAAACTAATTTCTAGAATGGCATATGGTCACTACTCTTACCTTTCTTCCATCCCAAAGCCGAACAAGTTTGCTCTCACGCATCTTAAGTGCAATAAGGAAATTCGGTTGAAAACTTGATGGGAGAAATTTGGAAGGATACCAACTCCATTTGATAATTCTCAAGGAATTAGGAAGAATTCTGGGGCTTGAAGAAATGATCACATTATCAAATTCAAGAACTTTCAGGTTACACATCTTAGAGAAGGCTTCACAATTCCAATCTGCCATTTCAAGTCTCGCCATGCGTAAGGCAATGCCTTTAATTTTGTATGTTGCCTGTAATTAAGAATAGTAAAGGAAAAGTTAATTGCACATTTAAGTCAAATTTCAAGATAAAAATAAATCATATTTCTTTAAAAACTTAGTATTTTCTACATAATTCTTACTGTATTGTTTATGAATACATGAGAGATATCATCACAATTGCACAATCGACTTCGTCTACCAGGCTCATCAGGACACTCCCGACGAACAATTTCCAATGCCATTTCCTGTATCAAATCATGCATCTCAACCGTGTTATTTGAAATATCAATAGTTAAAAGTGATTTCTGGACAAGAGCATTTATCCCAATATGACCACATAGGCCACAGCAGTCTAGTCTTTCAACTACACGCTCCTTGAACATCCCCTTGTGAAAAAATGCAACATCAAGAAATATATCCTTATTCATCTCATCCAGTCCATCGTAACTTATTTTGAGCAAATCAATAATTTGTGAGTTAGGAATTTTCTGCAGCTTATCCAATTCACTTTTCCATTCATATTGATCTCTCTTATACACTAAGCATCCCAAAAGTTTAAGAGCTAGTGGAAGTCCTCTAGCATAATTTACAAAACCCTTTGACAATTCCAAATAACCTTCCTCCGGCTCATTTTTTTTAAAGGCGTTCCAACTGAAGAGCTCAAGAGCATCATCATTACCTAACGCCTCTACCTTATATGATATATGTATATCATGTTTAACTAGCAACCGTTTATCTCTAGTTGTAATAATGATTATACTCCCCTTACCAAACCAATCCTTTTCACCAGCCAACTTTTCAAGATGGCTTGATTCACTCACATCATCAAGAATGAGAAGAACCTTTTTATTATACAAGCATTTCTTAATGACAGAGGTTCCCCACTGTTCATCCCAAACTTGAGTAATTTGATCCTTTAAGATTGGGGAAAGAAGTTGTCTTTGTAGATGAACAAGATTACCACGTTGAGAAACCTCTCTAACATTAGCAAGAAAGCAGCTAACTTCAAAATGGGTAGAAATGCTATCATAAACTAGCTGAGCAATGGTTGTTTTGCCAATTCCGCCCATCCCCCATATCCCTATAAAGCGAACATCATCCGTAGAGTGAGCTAAAAGCAAATCTACTTGCTCACGTATAAACTTCATTCCCACTAACCCTTTGGAATCTAACAATTTGAATCTGTGATGCACTTTCTCCCACACCCATTCAACAATATTTTCAATAAGCTTTCTTTCACACCTACAAGGAGGAAAAGTAAAAGCGATCATGAAGTCTAAAATATAGGACATACATATAACTTCGCCACTTGAAGTTACATCAAATGGCTTACGAAAAAACTTACTCATTCTTTGAATCAAACCCAGATAAATTGGCCACTTCAGTTAAAGCAGTTCTCCAGCTCTTCACCCTTTCTCTGTCTTCCCTAAACCTTTCCTCATGCTCAGCGAACGCGCACGCAAAACTGCCGCTTTGTTTTCTCACATCGGAGGGATCCACACGATAAAACACTGGCAGAATTGTGCCCTTGGGTTTCATGCATTGGAGAATCTCTGTAAGCTCATCCAAGCACCAGGAAGAAGACGCATAATTTGGCGAGAGGACAACGATTGCAAGCCTTGATTCTTCGATTGCGTTGAAGAGCCCCGAAGAAATAGCTGTCCCTCTTTCAAGCTTTGGATCATCCTTGAATGTTTTAATGCCCCTGAGCTGCAATTCGTGGTATAAATGGGACACAAAGCTATTTCGAGTGTCCTCACCCCTGAAACTCAAAAACACATCGTGGTTTGATTGAGGAGCAGACTGATCAGGTGAAGGAAGAAAGGCAGAGTCTCTTTGGGTGCTCAGTGCCATTTGGCAATCTGCTGCTGCTGTAAACACCCAAAATAAGAGAGAAACAGAGAGAACTGGGAAACTAATATATGTTTTGTATTTCAACAGAGAGAAACAGAGGAATTCAACATATAAACATTCGAAGGAACAAAAATACATTTAAAACAAAAATATAATGCAGAAATTAATGTTTTACTTGAACAAAACAGAGATGTGGACGAAGCAAGCCAACAAGTTTAGCTTAGTGTTACCTTAACCTCGAAAAAATTACAGAGCCAGAGAATTTGTAAGACCAGCAAGCCAACCAGAACCTCACAAAATATACTTCTCAAGATCAGCCAAGAAACCGACAAGAAGAAACAAAGCTGGGAGCCCCAGAAAAGAGAGAGACTTGGAAACCGTGTAGTGGTGAGCACGCGGTTTCTCTTTTCACCAATGAGAGTCATTTCTTTTTCTTTTTTCTTTTTTATGATAAAAGAAAGCTACATGATTCTTTTGCTTTTCGATGAGTCCTTTCTTTTGATTGGATCAGGCGAGTTATTTGGATTATGAGGACCGCCATATGTGGTCCTCAAATGCATACCTATATTATTAGCCGTAGAATTAAATTGAACCGTCCAGATTTGAAATTAAAAGAACAACGCCACAACCGCTTAGCACAGCCGCACCCACCTTTTACTCAACAAACATTACCCGTGTCTTTTTCTTCAAGAAGTTAATTCTAGTTTTGTTCTCCGTTTTGCCCGACAGATTTGCTCATACGTCTGAGGGCCATGAAATAAGTATTCAGATCGAAGGATTTCAGATGCATGGAAACTAAGACATTAGATGGTGGCAATTACTTGATCTTTTCATCACAATATATATGCCGTAAAATTTGGTTGAAGGCATCAAGGATTTTCCGTCTAGATCAATAAAGAGATAAATAAATAAAAACTTTTGTTTACAATGAGAAAAGAAACGAAAAATGTAATTAGAAAAAATTTAAAATTTGTAAAGCAATTTGTGCACATAACATAGTCAAATGGTCTCGTCCTTTCCAAGCAAATATTTTAGACTAAAACTTTAGGCATCCATTATTGCATTGCTTCCCTTTTTGTACTATATTGGAAATGGACCAAAGTTGGTTTATTTTTTAAATATTAAAATTACATTGGACCAAAGTCCACTTTCATTCTTTCAAAACCAACACAAAGGGCTTTTGTTTTTGTGTTTGGGCCATTACTTGGTTTAAATTCACTTAAATGCCCATAACTCAAAGTATCTCAGCCTTGACCCACACTAAAGTCAGAGAATGGGTAGCATTTACCAAGTTGACCTACGTGACCTTCTGAAAATGGGTTTTCCCCATTAAGAGTGACTTGATCACTGTCTCTCTCAGTACAGAAGCAAGCCGGCTAATTGACGCCAAAATCAAGAGGAGCCATCTTCCGACTGGTTTTCCATATGCAAAAGGATAGCAAATCAAAGAAACATCCCATCAAATCATCATATTGAGGCTGCTACTTCTTATGCTATGTTGCTTTGTGCTTTTTGGTGAAATATGTCCTCGTTTGCACCAGAGAGATTTGTGAGGCTTCTTCTTTCTTGCTGCATTGGCGTGGATTATACATTTGGTTTCAGAGACGGACATAGAAGAGGGCGCACGAGACCGTAGCTCCATATCTGGCTGCAATTGACCGATGAGAGAGAGAGAGAGAGAGAGAGAGAGAGAGAGAGAGAGAGAGAAATAACCGGTGAGTAATAATCCAGTTTTGAGTTTTTTTATATGAACTTCACACTAAAGTGTAAATCAGGAAATCTGTATATTAAGTAAACTATAAAAATAAAAAATAAAAAAGGCTGGCAATAGTAGGGTGTGTTTATAAAGTCTATTTAATGTAAGGTATGGTGTGTTTATAAAGTCAATTTCATGTAGGGTATCTCTATGATTCTATGGCTAGAAATGGGTTTCTTTATAGTTATCTATAGTTTTTTTTAATTTTTTTAAATAATTGTTTTTTTAATTATGGAAGAAGGCGATGACATTACCCTATTGGGAAAAAAATTACATTGAGTTAATTGTTTTATTAGTCCCCCAACTTTGATCGGATTTGCATTTGAGTACCTCAATTTCCAAAATGGTACCTGTGGTCCTTTAACTTTAGTTTCATTTGGACAACTAGTCCCACCGTTACTTCTGTCAATTTTTTCGTTAAATTTAAGGGTAGATGGGTCTTTTCAGGTTGGTTTTATTATCCCCATTCTGCAACTTGCCATCTCTCTGAAAAAGACCTTGAAGAGCTTGCAGCCAAAAACCCAAAGAACCAAAAATTGCAATATGCTTCTGCAACTCGCATATTGGTTGAGTAAAAGTTGGAATCGTCAAGTTTGGAAGCTTGGAGAGCAGATTACTCATCGTCGTCGACGCCCAAGTCACTACCAGAATCCATAATCAATTCTAGAATCATTTTCTCCAACAAATCTAGCCAAGAAAATCATTCAGTTGTCTCAGCAGAGGAGATAGATCACCAACCAACCAACAACTGTCAGTTTTCAAATTGAAATGACAGCAAATATATATAGAGATGATGATTGAGATGAATAACCTAGTGGTGGCGGGGCAAGTGTGTTTGACGAGTGCGAGGATTGTTCCCAATCCGAACAAAGCAGCACTAGGAGGATGCCCTCGAAACCTTGTCAATGTTGTTAGCAAAGGCAAATTATGTGGCAATATTTTCATTTCTTCACCACCACAATTAGTAGTAGCTGCAACCACACCAATTCCAGTCCCAATCCTGAGAAGAAAAAGATTAATGGCTACTTCCAACTCCAATGCTAACATGGCCAACAAAAAGGAGACCTGCCCTTTTATTCCTTCTTCCTCCTCTTACGGTGACCCCTGCCCGGATCTCTTTTTCAACGCCCTCATACCAGACGACTGGAGGTATACTAATCCACCCTGCCATAAATATTTGAAGCAACTTCTTCCCTTAGCCTGATCCCATAATCCCCTTACCACCCTCAAGCTCATCTTCAGTGTCGACTCTATCTGTTTTTGTGACACAAAGTTCGACACGGCCGTACTTTGGCTTCACCAGAACCACCCCAAGACTTCGTTCAACACATTTCTCGGATCCACGACCGCGGCGGAGGATCGGGTTATATTCGTGGCTGTTTTCTTGGCGTGGTTCATAAGTCCCCTCGCGTACTCACTGGCATTGATGCCTTTCCTGGCCCAGCCGCCGATGCCGTTCGCCACTCCGATAGTCTGGGCATCATAGCAGATGAAGTGGGCGTCTTCGCCCAAGGGTCTTTCCTGGTTCTCTCAAAGAATCTAAAAGAGTAAAAGTTTTTTTTGTCCCTCAAAGCCAACCTGAAAAGACCAATTTACACCTAAATTTAACGAAAAAATTTACAAAAGTAACGATGAGACTAGTTGTCCAAACGAAACTAAAGTTAAAGGACCACATATACCATTTTGGAAATTGAGGTACTCAAATGCAAATCCGGTCAAAATTGGGGGACTAATAAAACGATTAATCCTTGATTAGGCTGTGAAACACTTTCCCCCCACAGCAAACCCAACACAGTTTTTTCAAACCAACAATGGAGCGCGGCAATTGTCTTATGGAAGTTCCATCCAATTGAAGCAACTGTAAACATTCCATCTTCTCAAACTTCTTTGGGAGTTTGTCAATTTTTGAGCATCCATTCGCATGGAGTACACTAAGTGACTTCAAATTACAAATTTCACTCGGAAGACCCAAGAGATTTTTGCAATCCATTAGAAACAGAATAGTAAGGCCAACCAGACATCATATTGATGAAGGTAATTTATCAATGGACGTCGCCTGTAAAATGAGTGATGACAAATTTTTCATTTTCCCTGAAAATTTTGGAATCTTTCTCAATTTTGAGCAAAAACCAAGATCCAAGCTTTTAAGACATTTGAGATCTGCAATTGATGGGTGAATCTCAACCAAATTCTTACAACTTCCAAAATCCAACTCCTCAAGATTCTGAATGCCAGAGAAATCTGGGGTTGTGGTCAAGTTTTTAGAGTAACGAAGGTCCATTTTTTTAAAGTTCGGCAAGTCCTGTACAATTCATAAACAATGGTAGAACACATAATTACCTAAGATTTATTTTAATTTTTAAAACAAAATATTTAAAATAAAATAAAATAAAATAATTTCTAGAATGACATATGGTCACTACTCTTACCTTTCTTCCATCCCAAAGCCAAACAAGTTTGCTGTGACGCTGTTTGTGCCTAATAAAACACGATCATGAACTGATTGAAGGGACTTCCCTTCGGCCCTGGCGCCTACCGTTTCGTCAAGCATTTCGCCCCCCAATAGCAAAAGAAAAGTTACAAAGGCAGAATCCCCTCGGCCTCGCGACCGCAGTTTTGAAGGCCGAGCCGAAGGCCGCAAAAGACACGGTCTGAAAAAGCTGTGGTTGAATCGCCACGTGGCCTCAAGGCCCCACGCTCCATTTAATGAAGTAATGCCTCTGACTTCGCAGCAAAACCCACTAGTCACAAGAAACATTCAATGCACGAGGGAGGTGACTGAAGTCAGGATTTGGTGATGGGAATCAGGGTGGTTAGGCGCATACATTCTCACAAGTAATCTTATGACTTAGGGTCAGATCCCTAACCACCAGACCAGGGCATTAAATGCGTTCCCACGGCCAAGGGGGCAGAACCCACGATCAGGGTGGTGGCCGGGATTTGCCGAGATTTATGGGGGTCACACCACCATGCTTCTCAACCCCAAACCACTATGCTTCACGATCTCAAATGCCGATTTGACTACCCACTTGCCCCGGTCGTGCTCCACCACGCAGGTCTTGTCGGCCTCGAATGTCCTCCATGACTCCTATAAATACTAAGCTCAGGACTACATTCAAAGGGTTCAAACACCAAAACCAAAAGCCTCCCACGGAGCAAATTATATTTTCCTGTAATGCACTTTCAATACCTTTGTTTGCTTTCTTAGGAGTAGTGGTAGACTGTAAGAAAAATCCATTCATCAATATATCATACGACCCTTGATTTTCAAGGCGCCGGAGCACCATCTCTGTTATCGCCTCACTCACCCCATATATCATACGACCGTCGCTCTCTGAGCAACGCGCCGGATCACTGCCTAAAACCCGCCACCAACACCACCACTAAACGGCCTTGTAGCTCAGGCCGTGAA